AAAAAAAAAAAAAAAGTATTCAAAAGGTCCACCCAGAAGACCCATAAGTGGAGCTTCCCAAGAAGCCGCTTGGACACCTTCTCCAGGAGATCTCTTGATCCTCCAAGTAACTTTTGTTCTCTCTTGGCTATCTCTCCATTTATATCTCCTGCGCTCCTTCACTAGCTACATTCACTGGACTTCAGCTCTTTTTCCCTCCAATATAGGCAGAGTTTTCAGCATCAGTTAAGCTGGGAGCATTGGTGTTTCTAGGGGAAAAAGTCATGTATGTGTTTAGATTAAAAAATGATTGCACAACACAGCTTTTCTTAAACCCTAGAACCAAACAGGATGAGAAGACAGCTCTGATTAGTCAATTATCTGTTGAATTTCCTCCCACTTAGGTCTTTGCCTCTTGGTGATTTGATTTGAGTTCCATAAATAAAATGATGCCCGGTGCTGTTTTCCAGTTGTTAGGAGATACATTTTCATAAAGAACATAATCTGAGGCTGGGCGCAGTGGCTCACGCCTGTAATCCCACCACTTTGAGAGTCTGAGGCAGGTAGATCACGAGGTCAGGAGTTCAAGACCAGCCTGACCAAAATGGTGAAACTCATCTCTACTAAAAGTACAGAAATTAGCTAGGCGTGGTGGCACACACCTGTAATCCCAGCTACTCAGGAAGCTGAGGCAGGAGAATCACTTGAACCCAGGAGGCAGAGGTTGTGGTGAACTGAGATCACGCCATTGCACTCCAGTGCTCCAGCCTGGGTGACAGAGCAAGACTCTCTCAAAAAAGAATGTAATCTTGTCGTACATTTCCTCGCCTCAGTCCTGCAGAACTCCCTGGGATTTGGCTGATGTATTTCCAATAATGATTTCCGAAAGTTTAAAATAGGCTAAAAATTGGAGGGACGAGTTCTATTCTGAGAATAATTGATATTTTCTCCTTCTTTCATTTAGCAAGTCTCCTCTTCTGATGCCTACTTTGTGCCTTGAGAACTGTAGGACACATATGGATTCTAGCTCTGGAGGAGCCCTCACTTGGAGGAGGGCATTACTGGAGGACTGAGAGACAGACACATAAGTAAATAATTACCAAAGAATATGGTCAACATAACAGAGGTTAACACTGGTGCTGAATGAATGATTAGTGAGAGATGAATAGGAGTTCTCTCAGCATGAGAAGTGTAAGTAAAAGTATTCCAGGCAATTTTATCATTAACATCACCCTCCACATTTATTTACTTAGATTTGAAAAATGCATTCAATTGTACAACCTCCTTGGACCATCCAATGACCCTGTGGGATAGATAAGTCTAGTGGTCATCTGTTATGTGGCTTATTTAGCATTCACTCTGTTGGTCACAGCACCCATCATTTGACTTTTGAGGGCCACTCTTCTACTTTCAGTCCATGTGGTTCAGGTGGGGTTAATTCTGCCCCACCTACCCTCTAGGGGTGACCATGTGACTCACACCTGTTTGCCAGGGGACTGCATCTTCCTGGTCAAGGTGACTAGTTTACTGATGGGGGTGTAATCCATGTTAGACAAGTTAAATAAACCCTAGACTTTAGCCAAAACTATCCTAAAGACCCACTCTTTTTTTTTTTTTTAACTAGAATTGCTAAAATGGGAGACCATGAAGCTATTGTTAGTGGTCATCTTTGCCATTACTAGGGGGAAGGCTTCCTAAGGTTGAAGCAAACACAGAAAAAAATCAGAAGGGGGGCAGCTGATGCAATCTACACCACAGAGCCCATTATTTTCTTCTTCCTGATAGTAACAAATTTCCCCAAGATTTAGTTGGGCACTGGGCCCCCCAACCAGAAACCACATTTCCCAGCCATCCTTGCAGCAAAGAACAACCATCTGCATTTCCATGTCACTTCCTTAAAAGAAATTGCTTGTGTTCAACTTTGTCTTTCTCCTTGTTGGGTAGGATGTGGACATGATAGAGGTGAATTATCATTTGGGTAGTTAAGACAGTTCTGAAGAGTATGTTTGTGGTTAAGAAGATTTGCGTGCCAAGATTCAACCCTGGGGGAGGACGGAGGGGGGGGATCAAGACAGAAGAAACCTGTCTTGGATGATCCCATGGGGCAGAGCAGCCTAGCAGCCTTGGGCTACCTGCTTACTGCTAGATTGCATGTGAGAAAGAACTATAGTGCTCTCTTGTTTGAATCACTGTTTGGGGTTCTCTTAGTATTTTAGTCATTTGAGCATGTGGATCTGGCCATACCTGAACAAATTTGAAGTATATAAAAACAACAGAGTACTAAAATACTAGCAAATACTATCATGTTAAGATGGGCAGGAATAATCAGAGTTAAAATATTCTAAAGTCCTTATTTGTTTGTGAAGACAGTAGGAATGTTAACTTACTGCATTAGTCTGTTCTCACATTGCTATAAAGAACTACCCAAGACTGGGTAATTTATGAAAAAAAAAAAAAAGAGATTTAATTGACTCACAGTTATTCACAGCTGGAGAGGCTTCAGGAAACTTATAATTATGGCAGAAGGCAAAGGGGAAACAAGACACCTTCACTACATGGCCAAAGGAGGAGGAAGAGAGAGAAGGGGGAAGTGCTACACACTTTTAAACAACCAGATCTCATGAGAACTCGCTCACTATGACGAGAAGAGCAAGGGGAAATCTGCCCCCATGATCCAATCACCTTCCACCAGGTACCTCCCCAGCATTGAGAATTACAATTCAACATGAGATTTGGGTGGGGACACAGAGCCAAGCCACATCACTTATTAACCTAAAAAGTTTATGAACCTAAAAATTCACATTTAAAGAAAGAAAGAAAAGGGATTATAGGAAACTTTTTATTAAGGCCAGAAATGAGTAAGAGAAAACATGGCAAATAGCAAATCATAATAGAAATAGAAATATTTTCAAACATAGTGATGGGGTAAATGTAAATGTTCAAAATTTTCCTGTTAAAAGACAGAGAATCTCAGATTAGAGAACATAAAACAAAGCAAAATGTACCTATACATAATTTTCTTATGAATTTTTAATAATTTTGTTTTTGAGACAGGGTCTTACTCTGTTGCCCAGGCTAGAGTGCAGTGGTGCAATCATAGCTTACTGCAGCCTTAACCTCCTCAGACTCAGGTGATCTTCCCACCTTAGTCTCCTAAGTGGCTGGGACTACAGGTGCACACCACTATGCCTGGCTAATTTTTGCTTTTTTTTTTTCTGGCAGAGACGGGGTTT